GCTTCAGTCCATTAGTGCATTTAGCACACTCTGGAATGACTAAAAACAAATCCTGCCCCTCCTCTGTATGACAGTCTTTTAATTATATGAAGAATGCTGTCTTATCTCCTCTTCTCAAGTCTAAACAAGCCCAGTTCTTTTAGTCTTTCCTCATAGATACTTTGTTGGCCAGTGACTGTTCACTACAGTCTCTCTTGGATGCGATGGATTGTCTTGACCTATTTCAGTTCTGAATGAGACCTAGTTTGATCAGAGAAACTCCTGTGGTCATATTGATGGAGTACCTGTACTGGAAGATACACAGGAGAACGTGACTCCTGGAATTTTCAAGAGCTTTTGATACTACTGGGAGATAGGCATGCTGATACAAGAATTCTTCCCCCCCCCAACAGTTGTTTCCAGAAATCATTTGTGTAAAACTGTTCCTTGACCCTATTACATGCCTGCCATGAGGTTTCGAAGAGTTTTGTCTTGTGCTCTGTGCTTATATATCTACATGAACCTGCTAATAGGGGTTGCTTGCAGATCTGGGACAATGTGTCACCAGTATACTAGGTTTCCTTTTATTATTTAAGTCAGGTGAAGAAGTGGAAATGTTAAACCAATGCAGGATGATAGCTGATGAATGATAACTCAGCCCTGACAATATGGCGTTTCTGCGGATATAAGCTTCTCTGAGGTGTTCCAAATGGTTCTGGATGAGATTGTACCTCAGGTTTACAGCCTGGAAGCGTTTCTTGGTCAAGCTCTATCAGTATTGGCTCAAATGTCTTGTACAGTATATATATGGAACATTTTCTACCAGCGTAGACTGATAGTTTACACTGATTAAGCTGCAGCTTAATCTAGCCAGTGCCACAGTTACCCATGGTCTAGTATCTTGTGGTAGACTACCGTAATACAGTGGTGCCTCACAAGATGAGGTTAATGCGTTCCGCAAAAATCGCTGTCAAGCAAAATCGTCGTTAAGCAAAACGGGGTTTTTCATAGAAAAGCATTGAAAACCGGATAATCCGTTCCAATGGAAATGGATTGTCATCGTAAAGCGAAAATCGCCATAGGAAACACAGTTAAGCGAAACACGTTTCCCAAGTAAAGACAGCTGTCTAACGAAACAGCAACCATTTAAAAACCCGTTTAGCGAAGCAACCCCGAGCTGTCAAAAACATCGTAAAGCAAAAAACAGGGACCTAAAATTTAATCGTCTTGCAAGGCAAGGTCCCTAACATTGTAAAGCGAAAATCGCCCATAGGAAACATTGTTAAACGGAGTGCAAGATCGCTCCGAAAACCTCATCGTAAAGCGAATTCGTCATTAAACGAAGCAATCGTCTAGCAAGGCACCACTGTGTGTATTTGAAGCTGCATTTGGTAACTTTTCAGAATCTGCACTTGGTGTAGACTGCAGTTCCTAGCATTCCAGGTGAGATTGCTTGTTAGGAATGTATTCCACTAATTTTAGCTGCTGGTCTGATTGCAAGACTGCCCCCCACCCCCATTTCTGTAGTTTGCCTTCCCTAAGGAAACTTTCCTGGTGCCTACAACAAAGTTTATTTTTCTTGTTCTCCAAGACCTTTAGGTCATCTTATTTCTAAGAATATGTCTATACTGCTGTGTAATTTGCATTCTGCTGTTTTATTTTGATTCTTATGTGTGTGAATCATTATTATTACTTAAATTGCTTGTATTGTTTTAATATATTGCAAAGGATCCTGGAATCATAAAGTGGAGGGTAATACACAAATTCCTCATGTGAATAAATAAAATGTTTATTCGGAATAAATACAAGGCTCACACTAGATCAGATAGAGCACTCCTTTTTTAAATGAATACATCTGTCCTTTTCTGAAATGGTGCTGAAAGTATAATTTTTGTATCAACAATGGTAAATAGATGAGGGGAACTGAACTATCTTATCTTCCTTGAACCCTTCCACCCCACTGTCCTGTATTCTAGGTGCTTTTTGTGTCAGCTCAATTTGCTTTTAGAAAAATGGTTTGGGCAGCTGGGGTGGGAAAGGAGTTGAGTTCCTCTCACTAGCATACTCCTTTTGCTTTTTTAATGAGGCCTGACTGCCCCTCCAACACACTTTCACATAGGAACAAGGCATAAGTACACACTGATGTTTGTCATAAAACTTGATATCACGGGCAATTAGAAATCAATGTGCTTGACTCCAGTGCAACTTTGCGTTCTCTTAACTTCATCCTGTATATTCCCCCCCCCCCGGCTGCCCTGGTTTATCCACAAGTAATGCTTGTGTTTCTGCACATTAGGGTGTGGAGTGGCACTGTGATGATGCTACTGTAAAAGCCTGTTACAGTAAAGGCAAATCAGAGGTGAGTTGGTGTTTCAGTACTCGTTTCCTAGAACTGAATGGGAAAAAAGAAAGAAAGATCTAACTGCTCATTCCTGTATATGTTTTCTTGGAAGTAAGTCCCACAGACTAAGGCTGGAGCCTGTCAGTGCATGTAGGATTACAGTTCTCAGCTAACTGATTCAAGCAAGGCTGTAATTAAGTTGGAATGATTTATTTGAAGTGGAGGAGCAAAATTTTACATTCTGTTCCTGTTGTGTGCTTAAAGGTCTACTGAATCCCATGTATGGGCTAAATGCCATGTACAGTGGTGCCCCGCATAGCGCCGTTAATCCGTTCCAGGATTAACGTCGCTATCTGAATGCGGGGGGGAAACCCATAGGAACGTATTAAACTCCGTTTAATGCATTCCTATTGGGGAAAAACTCACCGGTAAGCGAAGATTCCCCCATCCGGCTGCCATTTTCATTGCCCGATAAGCGAGGGCAGGGCACAAAAATGCTGTGGGCAGCCATTTTCTGCACCCGGCGGCCATTTCGGAACCGCCGATCAGCTGTTTTCTAAACATCGCAATGCAAAGATCGGTAAGCAAAACGCCTATCTAAACGCCTATCTAAACATCGCAATGTGATCGCATTAGCGGTCACAAAAAACGTGTCGCTATGCGGATTCGTCGTTAAATGGTGCACTCGTTAAGCAAGGCACCACTGTATTGATTTTGATATAGGTAAATTTGATATAGTTTGAGCCTATACAGTGCAATATTGCATTCAGTGCACAGAGACTAGGCAGATTTAGGAGTGGGACCCTCCCATGCAAGCGGGTAAGTTTAAAGCTCCATCTCAGTTGCTCTACTGTAGTGAGCTCACACAGGAAGAGAAAGCGTGACATTCTTATGTGGAACAGCTGGTATATCCTGGTGGAAATCTAGTAATACGTTCTTTTTGTAGCTTGTATTAGCTATGCAGTGAGTGCTTTCATATTCAAGCATGCACTAGTACGTAGATGGGGTGATGTAGAAGACTTTGTCAAAAGGATTGATGGATTTCTGTGCCACTTTTATGAATTAATTTAAAATGTAATCTGATTGCTTTCCCTAACAGTTACACTTAGAGATGGCTTATCCAATTTTTTCATGTACAGTCACACTCTGCAGGATAACACTAATGAATAGGTCAGGTTTTGCTTTGCATATATTGTGTATAAAATGTTGATAATCCTATTTTCTTTCTCTTTCTATGAAAGGAGGAGTGCCAGAATTATATTCGTGTTCTCCTTATTGGTGGAGACCGGCTCTTTGCCTGTGGAACTAATGCATTTACACCCATTTGTACTAATCGAACGGTAAGAATATGAGCAAATCCACACTATAAACATAAAGCTGTTATGATATAATTTCTTCCTTCCATGGACCTGCAGGTATTGTAATGCTGTGAAGCAAATGTGGTACCTGATTATGAAGAAAAGGATTTTTTCCCCTCTGATGTCGAAACTCCCTCCACTGGGAGATCCATTTGGAGCCAGGAAGAGGGTCTGCTGAAATTGCTAAAAAGATTACCAAACTGCAGTTCCAAGGTTGATTTGTGTTGAGTCTGGAGAATCAAATTGGTAGAAATTCATAGTGCACTTAGAACCTAGGCTAAGTTAATGAATAAATGTTACTGTTGCCAACTAGAAGAAAAACAAAACTGCAAAGATCACTAGATCATAGAGAAAGCTTGCTTTAATGTTAGCAGCAAAATGAATCAATCCATCCAATTTTGTTTCTAGTTTTACTATTTCCTCTTTCAGTGCATGTGATAGATTATAGCCTCTCCTCTAACTTGCTCATGACCTGACTGGCAAAAACCTGGGATATGGAAAAGTCTTGTACTGTATACGTTTTGTAAAGGGAGGCTTGAGAACCTTTGTTCTTCCAGGGTGGAGAGTTTGGGCCTTGGCAAGAGGAAACATCTCCTTTTTTCTCCTTTTTTCTTTTCTTTGCTATTCCATCTTGGTAATCCTCTCTTTAAATTAATTGTTTTAAATTGAAATTGTAATTGTAATTTTATGATTTTATATATTTTTATACTGTTCTGTTTTATTTTGTAAGCCGCCCCGAGTAGACATGGTCTAGAGGGGCGGGGTAAAAATCAAATAAATAAATAAATAAATAAATAAAATAAAACATTTACATCAAAGCAATGTAAAATATCATTTTAAAATACTGACGAAAGAAAGATCAAAATAAATTGAATGTCTCTTTTTTAAAATTCAAGCATACTTTAAGAAAGCACACATATGTTTGGGCTGAGATCAAATTAAAACACTTTTCCTTGTAACTAAATGAAACTTTGATACAACCTAGGAGGACAGTCTAAACCTCTTGATCGTGGGCTAAATCCAGCTGTCAGTTTAAGTTAGATCAGTTGAATCAATGTGATTTACATACATATTGGTTTAACAAGACCCATTTTTTTTCTGTGGGTCTATCCTAGCTGGGACTAACAATTGGATTTAGGCTATGAAAGCTGTGCATATAGTGCAGGGTTACATCTGTTCAGAGACAAGAGAAAATTTTATTTGGTTCCCTCAGTCTTAAATGAGATTATGTGATTGATCTAATAAAGATGTACGGGATTATATTATAATGTAAGTGTCCAGAACTTTCTATAAACAAGACAAGTAGATGCTTGGGAAAGTAATATTTTTCAGTGTTTTGAAAAGCAGATGTCAACTCTAGAATATTATTGATTCATAAATATTCTTATTCCAAGAATGAACATGGTGTATTGCCCAAGTAATTGACATAAGTGAAAAAAAAGTATCCCCTTTCAGATATCCTTTTTTTTCTGCAGCTGGAATAAATTTAGAGCTTGGATCCAGTCAGAAACCGGTATTAATATAGATTCCAATTGAGTCAATTTAAAAGGGTTAAAAGTATAGACATTTTAAAATTTTACATATATCATCAGAAAGGATACACAGATCATAATCACAAAAGAAATATGAAAATAAAGAAATGATAGAAAGATTGTGTATGTTGCAATTTTCATCTAAAAACTAAAGCAAATGCTTTTAAAGAAAAAAATAATAAAACTCAGATTTCTTTAAAAAATTTTATTCTTGTCCGCTACTTTGATCCTCATGAGCTAGTTTATCATCTTCATTCCCAGAGTTTCTCTGGTTCACTCCGCTGTCTTCTGTAGTTCTTCATATCCATGATAACTTTGCTTTCTCTTAAAACCTGGCCATCTCGTTTGTTTCCAAGTGTGCAAATTGTCACAGTTCCCTCCATACTCCTCCCTTCCTTATTGTCCCTCCCTTCTTCTCCTGTACACATGCCTCAGATTATGGTGGATGCTCAGTTGGATTATTGGAACAAGAAGTTGGATGAATAACAAGAGCATGGCTAAAGTAGAACATGGTGGCACTGTGTTCTTAGCCATTAGAGCACTGATGTTTGTAGTGCTTTCACAGGCTGCAGAAGTTCCAGATATTGCTTTCTCCAGACCTGTTTGTAATTAATTGGGGTGAACCAATTTGACTACCCCTCGTTTCATCTCTTATGTTCCTTTGGATCACTTGTGATCAACACATGAAAAGACAGATTTACTTCTTTCATTCATCTTCGGATCAGAGTGTTTGATCAAACTGCTCTCTTCATTTGTGTGTGTACAATTGCCATTTTTGTGTCTGTAAACCATACCATACCATCTTCTTGTTCTACCTGACTGTTAAACACTGTTTGATCACTGGGAAATGGAGTGTTTGACAGCTTGGAAGTGTGCTCTACCGATGTAAGTCAAGATTTGTTTTGTTTTGTACATGATAACACTATGGCACATCCATAACCACTATAGTACAGGTTTCTAGCAGGTGCTGTTTCCTCATGCAAGTTGTTGCCCTCCTGTTGTTTGCATTTTGTAGCCCTGACTTCAAGGAAACAGGGAAACCTGGCAGCACAACACCATAGCACTCTGTGGGTGTATTTGTCCATACAGGGCTACCCAAAGGGGGACACCCTAGACAAAGAGAGGGTGTTGTGTATCACCTCAGGAGACTGTCTGATATAATGCACTCCTCTGGCTAGCTAGTGGGGCTGCTTAGTAAACCTACAAAATTTCATTTCCTTCACGCAACCACTTTGAACAATTCTACAGCATCTTTCTTTTTCTGTGGAAAATGTTGAATGAATGCCAATTATTTCTGGTAGAACACACCATGGAGCATTCAAGTACAAAACATGAATGCTCAGAGCACAAAAATGGGTATGTTATGGTTTACAGATAACAACTTCATTTATTGTCTGGTATGAGGTTGGAGGAGATTTTTGCCACAGCCACTGGAAATTGAAATGCAAAGATTTGGGTAGGACGTGGAAAAGATGCAGCAAAAGATGGAAATGCCTAGATTGATGTTGTCGTATTATACATTTAAAAACAACAACAGTAATGACATGCCCTCCTATGTAAAACAGCACAGCGTGTGCATGTGCATGAGGGGGTACTCAAGACATCTTGATGTGATTTTCTATGTCAGCTTTTTACAGATGTGGAAAAACTGTGAGAACAATGGAAAATAATGAGAAATAGACAGATGAGCTGTGTATTCTTTGGATGGCTGAAAGCAATTCAATAAGACTGCAAGATACACAGCAGTGGAGAGTGCCATAACTACTGCCTGAATTCCCCCAATAATTACACTTCGTATTCATTTGATCAAGTTAGCCACAACTCGTTTAAGCCCCATTGAGTTCAGTAGGTCTGTTATTAAGTGTGATTAAGTATTTTGTCTCTAGAACTTTGGAACTGAAATAACAGAACAGTATTGATTCTCCGAATACTTGTTTAATGAAAGGCTCTGCCCTGCCTGAAACAGAATTTTCACAATAGACTAGAAACACAGAGAAGCATAGCTTAGCCCCGCTTAGCACTAATATTCAATCCCAAAGACAGGGAAATGAACTCCAGAACAGAAAGAATTTGATGTTCAGAACCGTAGTCAAGACATTGGTAAACATGTAACGTCAAGGCTGCAGGCAAAGCCCACTACAGTAGGACCACTGTATCCACGAGGGGTCATTTCCACTATCTACTTTGGATGACTTAAACTGTGGATATGAGGGAACCCAATATACAACAGAAAAGGGGACAGGACAAAGGCCACAAAGAGGCACTGTTGTATATCGTATATAAGGCTGTAGTAAACTGTAGATAGTGATATCCTATTTTTAGGATAAGTGCTGTGTAATGTAGGCAGGAAAATATATTTCTGCTAGATATGAAATGTATGGCTCTCTTTAAGGTTTGTGACTGGCAATAAAAACAAAACAACTCCAGTAATTCATGGCAAAATCTGGAGTGTACTTTCATGCTTTTGGACTGCAATTCCTAGAATTCTATAGAATTGTGCCCTACAAATTGAAATCAGCTTCTGAAACATTCTCTGTCCTAGATCTACACTTTTTTTCACATCTATACCACGTAGCTTTGTTCTTGTTATGTGTGGTCATGTTGCTTCTGATTTATTGTGACCTTATGAATTAATGACTTTCGAAGGTCCTGTTGTAATGTGCCCAAAGTATGGTAGCCTCCGTTTAGTTGTACAGTATTTGCTTCTAGATAAAGTTAAAGCTTGATTTAATCTGATTTAAAATGAGAAGCCTCATGGTGCAGTGGTTAAACTGCAATACTGCAGTCAAGACTCTGTTCAAAACCTGAGTTTATTCTCAATGAGTTCAGGTAGCCAGCTGAAGGCTGGCTCAGCCTTCTATCCTACCAAGGTCAGTAAATTGAGTACCTAGCTTGCTAGGCGGTGTGTAGCCTGCATAATTAAATTGTTAACCCCCTAGAGAGTGCTTTTAAGTGCTGTGGGGGTCACATACTTGCTTTAACCTAGCCGTACAAATTTGTCTTTTCAATATAGTATCAATAACAGTGTTCCCCAATACCACTTTTCAAATGAATCCATTTATTTTTGTCAGCTTTTTTTTCACTGTCCAGCTCTCCTATCTGTACATAACAATCAGGCATACAGTAATATGATTGATCTTGGTCATGGTCCTTTCAGATCTCTGTCTTCGGATTTCTTGGCGGCAGTCTTCATTTGAATGGGTGATGGAACTAAGATATAGGAAGACTTTTAACTATTTCAATTTTTTCTTTGTCAACATTAAAGTTATGTAATTCTTTAGTAGTTGTGATTTTGGTCTTCTTAATGTTCAACAGTTATCCAGTTTTGGCACTTTCATTCTTTGCCGTTCCACAGTAGTCATTTCAAATCATCGTTGCATTCTCTTCATAGTATGGTATAATTTGTATATCTCAATTTACTGCTGCTTCTTGTACAGATATTTATTCCTTCTTCATCTGAAGCTAATCCAGCTTTTCATGTGATAATGTTCTGCATATACAAAACACACCTTTGTCTGACACGTTTGCCTGTTGGAAATTATTCTGTTTCTCCATATTCTGTCCTAATAGTCGCTTCTTTTCCAGAGTGTAAGTTATGCATCAGGACAATCAAATGTTGTGACACACTTATTTCCTTTAGAACAATCCATAGCTTTTAATGATACACACAGTTAAAAGGCTTTGTGTAATCTAAATACAGTACTGATTTTCTTCTGATGTTCCTTTATATGCTCAATCAACCAAAGTGTATTTGCAATATTTCTTGTGCATTTTCTGATTCCAGCTTGAACATTAAGCATTCCTCCCTTTATACATGGTAAAAAAAATCTTTGATGCAAAATCTTATATCTCACTTTGCTTCCATGGTAAATTAATGCAGTGGTCCTGCTATGCTCTTTTGCCTTGTGTTTTTGAACCATGCAGCCAGAAAGGAAATCTTTGAAAAACATGAAAATCCTATGATGACAGAGCTAGAACTAGAAAACTTCAGTGCTATAACCAGAGATGGGGAAAGGTTCCTTTGGGGCTTTTCTTCCCATAATACTCTAGCCTTTGTGCCCAGTGCCCTTGATGGTTGTGGGTACATGAACTAACTTTTCAAAGATCTGGCTATATCTATTGTGAGATTCAGGTCCTGATTCTGCACGTAACACTGTCTTTTGATTTATTTTTATGTCACGAAATGCGAGTTGTGTTGACTGATTTCACCTGCTTCTCTTCTTGTTCTGGTGTAGCTAAGTAACCTGGAAGAGGTACATGATCAGATAAGTGGCATGGCCCGTTGTCCATATAGTCCACAGCACAACTCCACAGCTCTCCTAGCAAGTACTGGTGAGCTATATGCAGCGACAGTCATGGACTTTCCAGGGAGGGATCCGGCCATTTATCGCAGCTTGGGTGTTCTTCCTCCTCTCCGGACTGCACAGTACAACTCTAAGTGGCTCAATGGTGAGTGCAGAGAAGATGCATGAGGGAAATGTTCTTTGGAAAGAGCTCATTTGCTTCATTATAATGGAATGAAGTTTATGCACTCATAATTTTCCCTGCTTCTGAAGGTTCATCCCCATTTGGGAGGTAGGGATGAGGTATTTCATTCCTTAGTGCTGAAGGTTTAGAGTTGGCAGTTTTGTGGTGGAGTTGCATTGGCAGTGAGAGAGAAGATGGAGAGGTACAAAGAAGAAAAGAAATAAAGAGGTGAGGATAGGGCTACAGTTCAGGGGTATTCTTTGCCTGTAGAATCTCCCAGGTTCAAGGCCACCTGATTGGAACATACAGTATCTATATCTGAAGATCTAAAGTAACCTGAAAAAGTCATTTTCTTCTAATTTCCTTGTTTGACAATGTATTTCAGAGCCAAATTTTGTGTCTTCCTATGACATTGGAAACTTCATCTATTTCTTCTTCCGAGAGAATGCGGTGGAACATGACTGTGGGAAAATAGTATTTTCTCGGGCTGCTCGAGTTTGTAAGAATGACATTGGAGGCAGGTTTTTGCTAGAAGACACCTGGACCACCTTCATGAAAGCTCGTTTGAACTGTTCCCTCCCTGGCGAAATTCCATTTTACTACAATGAATTACAGAGTACGTTCTTCCTGCCAGAACTGGACTTAATCTACGGGATCTTTACCACTAATGTGTATGTAGTTTATGCAGTATTTTTATCTCTAGAATATACAGAATAAAACCGAGGAAGCATTTGGGGCCCTGCTTACTTCCTAGGAAGTATACCGTATTTTTCGCACCATAAGACGCACTTTTCCCCCACAAAACAGGGGGGTGGAAAGTCTGTGAGTCTTATGGAGCAAAGAAAACATTATATTTTCCTGTTTCCTTCTCCTAAAAAATTGGGATTATGGAAAGGTGCGTCTTATGGAGTGAAAAATATGGTATATTACAGAACAGGAGGCTATCCTGAAAATAGGACTGAAACTCAAAAAGTTCTGAAATATGGGCTGTTGAGAGAACTTAATAGGGCATGTTCAAGTGCACTTGCTCATTATTTTTAACAAGGCAATAAACCAGACACACACACAAAAAATTACATTTCCAAACCAGAAAAGCTTTCACTACTGGAGTTTTTAATTTAACAGAAGATTGCAGTGACTGGTAGGGAATGGAACACATTTCCTCATTAGACTAAGTATATTCTCTACTTTCTGCTCCAGTAAAGTGACTGATAACAATTCCATTAATAATATTACATTAACAATTGTACTTTTAAATACAGAACAAAACTGTATTTAATTGTATTTAGCCATAGACCATCCCAATAAAATGCAATAAAACTTGAGGAAAAATAAGGACCATGAAAGAAAGAACAGTAATGAAGGGTTCAGTCTTAGACAAAGCTCTAAAAGAATTCCAATAGGGTTTCAATAATAAAAGCACATTGCAGGCTGAAAGAAAATAGGCAAAGAATTAAAATTTAAAATGAGGCTTTGAGTGGCACTGGACATATTGCCTTCCCAAAAACTGGCATAATTTCGTAGATGCTACAGCGAATTGTGTAGCTGTTTAAGTGACAAAAGACTGCTCATCTTGCAGGACTTACCTTAGGCCACACAGGGCTACCTCTTCTCCTACGGTAAAGCACAGTGGCGGGAATCAAATGTCCAACTTCTGGCTCCAGTCACCCAACTCACTGAGTGATCCAGCCAGCAATTATTAGGTTACATGTTAGTACTCATCATAATAACTCTAGAAGCTGTTCCCAGAAGAAGGATTTTTTAATAGGATTCTTATGTCTTTTGTTTCTCTGTTTAGTTGTTATTGTTGTTTTAATTAGCTACCTATAGGGACAAACTAAAAATGTGTTTATTAAATATGTTTGATTTAGGCATTGTATAATTGGCTTATCAATAGCACATCACAGGAAGAAGAAGAATAAAAGTAACCCTGAAGAAGCAGTCTAGTCCTGTCGACATAGCCTTGCCATTTTTTCTAATGGGCAAATTGATAAATAAAATAAGCACGTAGAAAGCTAGGTATTATATAAAGGGCAGAAATAAAGATGACCTTCTAATACATTTATAAGTGAAGCAGTACTGACCCTTTAAGCTGCCTAGGTAGAATATTAGTAAACTGAAGCTGCTCTGAAATCCTAGAAGGGTTTTATAAACCCAGAGGAACGATGTCTTTATTTCTCAGTTTTTCACAGCATGTACTTATAGCTGCTTGCTTGCTCATTTATTTATTTATTATTCAGTAAAAGTGTTGTTTATTGCTTCTCAGGACAAGGGCCCCCAAATCAAAGCCCAACCATAAAAAGATTTAAAAAACACATTCTTTAAAAATAGATAAAAACAGCTTTTAAAGTCAGTGTTCTTTAAAAGCAGATTACATCAAACCAAAGTTATCTCTCCCCTGGTTGGTAGAAGAAGTCCATAAGAACACAACATAAGAGCCCTGCTGGATGCCAAGGGCCCACCTAGTCCAGCTTCCTATATCTCAAAATGGCCCCACCAGATGCCTCTGGGAGCAAACGGGACAACTAGATACCTGCCCCCTGATACCCCTCCCCTGCATCTGGCATTTGGAGGTACCTTCTTTTTAAGCCTGGAGAGTATACATCCCCATTACGGCTTGTAACCTGCAAAGCCCCAGCATGTGGATGTTTTGAACACACAACAAACAGGACTCAGATGACAAGAAGGCATCTCTACAAGAAGAAAGGACTCCCTGATATATGCAAGAAAACTACGTTTTGGGACCACCAAGTGACTGGTTCTAACAAATGAGGAGGGTTCTTGATTTTAGAAGTTAATGCACAGGTACTAGACCTGACGGAGTCAGGGGAGACAGTGAGGCCTTCATTCCCATCAAGGGAGATTGGAGTGGGCACCAGTGAAGCGTAAATACAGAAAATAATATGTGAGCTGTACCCCCTTGTCCCTAGAAAGAAGTTCAATCAAGTCCCAAAATGGCTCCAAACTGATGTTCCAGATTGATTCTATACATGCTCAATGTGGAGTCTGATGCTCAACACATATATTAGCATAATGTATAAATTAGCTTCTTTTTCCTAAAGAATACATTAAACGGTAATAGCCAACATTCTTTTGCGCAACTTATACTGGCAATAAGAGAAATTATGTTGCTTCAGTGACAGATCACACTAATTTTTAAAGAGTGCCTGCTTAAATTCTGGGTTGCCCGCAAAGCTATCTAATTCACATGTAATGAAGAATCATGTGAATAATTGTAGCAGGGACTCTTAATTAGTGGTGATCCAACACTGTGGCATCATCATTTCCCTTATGCCAGTGTAAGTTATGCTAGAGGATTTTGGCCATCATCAAGACCACTGTGACGTTCCACCCAGTGTTCCCTGTTTGTTTCCCCCAAACACAGGTTCACTCTCTGGATACGTTTACTCTTTCTTCTGCTATCACCAGTGGCTCTCTCATCCACACTGCACCATATATGCATCAGACACGTGCTGCCAATATAACTTGATTAAACGTTTGCTTATTCAGGTGTTGTATTTACTTATTATTGTTTAGGATCACTCATTAAATTTATTGTACTATTTGATTAGACGTTTGCTTATTCAGGTGTTGTATTTACTTATTCACATTAACCAACTCAATCATATTCTCTGACTATCTATTTAGCTTTATTATTCCCTTTCTCTCCTTCTCGTCCTTTCTAACTCTCCAACTTTCCAATTCTCTCTTCTTAACTGCCTCCAATTCTCCTCTCTAACTGCCTCCCTCAGTCCAACTGTCTCCTTGACTCCACCTCTCCTGTCTTCTCATAGGCTCCTGCACTTGAGCTTCAGCTATAATAGACAGGAGTGACGTGGGCATTTCGCCACAACATATCTTCCCCTGAAGGGTGGGGCCTGTGGATAACCAGGCTGCCCAGTGCACTGATGGTGCTAAACTATTATTTGTTTTACTTGAAAAGCACACATGCTTAATAGCCAAGAAATACAGAGTTGCTCTTTTGTGGCCTTGAACTCAGGGGAGCCTAGGCAATTTGTGAATTACTTTTGTAACTGATTAAGTTCTTACCAGTTATATGCCAGGGCAATTACTGTAGGAAAAGTGGTAAAAGAGACGAGTGCTCAGCCCTCTCTGGATTCAGAATTGTTTCTTATGAACTACGATATCTTATTGTCTTCTCCCATGCTCCCCATTCCCCCCAATGATGATTAGCAAACCTTGGGGATGGTCCAAAATGTGTGTTTAGAAGGGGCAATGCTATGGAAGTACAGCAAGAAGAGCAACTACATGTAAACAGGCAGTGCGGAGCAGAAACTGGAGCAAGATCAAAAAAGGCTAGGTTGGTCTGTTTCCTTCCCATCTGCTCTGTTCCTTTCACAATGACCAAATGTAATCTAATATTTTCCATGTTTATCAAGAGCTAGTATGTGGAGTGACTCAAAGTGTCACTCAGGAAGTCCTTAATCTCACCTCAGCTGCAAACTCCCTAGACAGCAAACTCCTTAGACAGCAAACTCCCTAGGCTGCAAACTCCCTTAGGCAAGACATTACTATCTCAGCCTCTTCTGCAGTGGGAAATGACAGTGACCATAACAGGGTTGTTGTCAGTATTAACAGCAGGACACAGTGTGAAGTGTTTCCAGCACTCAAAATAACTACATAAACGTAACTTTATTACCTCAGTGGTCTTCAGCTTGTTGATTTAATTATGAACTGTTTTGAAAATAAAAAGCTTAATTCCAAAATGGGTGTAATTCACAGAGCTTGAAAGTAGCTAGGAACGTATGTCATCCCTTGCTGAGGTACAATGATAATGTTTAATTCCTTTTTACAAAATGATGGCACAACTAAATTACATTAAAATTGTGCCTCAGCACAGGATGATGTCACTTTTTCTGAGGTAGAACTATAACATTTTAATTATTTTGGTAGTCATGGGATGTGTTGCCTTAATAAATGGTGGAGAGAAATGTCATGAGGTTTGAAGGCAGGCTTGTGCTGTGCCTTGTGCTGTTGCATCATGCACTGCTATGGGTGTTGAAGCCATGATGAGGTAGATTGTGGGGCAGGAGGACAGAATTTTGAACCATAGGACAACAGCTTGTAGCATTCAGATTGGCTTTACAGTAGCTAAAATTACTTTTAAAGCATTGTAACAATAACGGTAACTTGGGTTACGCTTGGAATATAACTGTAACTCATTAATTTTTTAAAATAATTTTTGAAGCTTCAGAATGCAAGACCTCCATCTGAATACTTCCATTCACCACAAAATGGTAGCATAGTGCTGATGCTGCAGTTTTGATCTGTTCTGCAAAAATCTAATCTAACACATGTGGCAAGTGTTTTTACCCATTCGATGGCAAGTTTAAGGAAAATGTATACTTTAAGACTGCTTAAAATATTGCTTTACTTCATCTTCTGTTTGTTTGTTTGTCCCTGGTATATGTGTTTTTTTTAAAGGAACAGCATAGCAGTTTCAGCTGTTTGTGTATTCAACATGACAGCAATAACACAAGTCTTCAACGGACCATTCAAGTACCAGGAGAATTCTCGGTCTGCCTGGCTGCCTTATCCCAACCCAAACCCTAATTTCCAGGTATTTAAAGGAAAATGGATGTAAAACTGAAATCATGTTTTTTAGAAAGCTGATAGTATGATGGGCACATATAGTAGCTTCCCCCTCCCCCAGCCTGTGTTAAAGTTTTTTCCCTTAATAATCAAGATGGGATGAACAAGTTGCAGCTTTGCCACAGCGGGTTGGGAACAAGACTTCAAACATTGGCCATGTTAAAGTTTTTTCCCCTAATAATCAGGATGGGATGAACAATCTTTGCCACAGAGGGTTGGGAACAAGACTTCAAACATTGGCCTGAGAGATAGTATGTCCCCAGAAACTGAGTAGTGGGCATGTCGCTTAGTCATGGATAAAATTCTGGAAAATGTAGGCCCAAGCAAAGGGACCATGAAAAATTGAACACAACAAATAACTGAGCCACAATCCTTGATCCAACCAAGTGCATGTCTTTGGAGAGTTGCAGCGATGCAGGTCTTCAGGGGTTTCTTTGAGGAGACAAATATTCATATGGGGTCATTGTCTATATCGGCTCTGAGAAACCTCTAATTAGTAACCATGTTGTGCTAACTGCACTAGGACATCATTGGATATGGGTCATTGTTCTCACAAATGTGGCTTGAGAGACTCTACTACATGGGAAATAACCTTAAGTCTCTAGACAGGCCTCATTCCAAGCCTTTTCATCTGAGGGCTGATCACTCTGCTCTGTCTCTGTATTGGGAGTGACTGGGTTTTTCATGCCTCTTTAAGAGGACAACCTCCAGATGTGCCTGTCCTCTGAGGTCACTGAAGATAGCTGTATGTAAGTTGCTGTGTAAAAGCAGGCCAAAGGCAGTGAATCACACACAGCAGATGACCTTCTCTGAGCATTAGTCATTTTGTCACACCTTGGGCATCATGGACGGCAATCTATGAGAAAGGACCAGAATATTTAAACTTGTTGGTTGCATTGTTTCTATTTGCATTGCTTTAATATTCTTTAAAAATATGTTGCCCATTAACACTGTTGGTTCTCTTTACTCCCATACCCTAAAACTAAATATTTTCGTATGTAAGAGTAAGACATGCATGTAGTTTTAAGTAGGACAATTCTCTCAGGAGTTTTGAAAAGGTTAGAATAAATTCACTAGAAGTTAGGTTTTAAAACCATGATTGTTTGATATGGGCTATTGAGGATGGCTATAGATGTGAACATCGTGTGATTAATAGAGATAATTTTCCCCCAACACTATTTAGGGCTTTCTTTATATTGAGAGGATGAACTTCTGATGGGGGGGGGGTTTTGCAAGATCCCCCTGAAGCCATAAGGCGCACTCTGCCACCCAATGTGCCATTAAGCTTCCAAATTTTGGGGACGTGGCAAAATCACTGAAAATTACTTTAAAAGCAAATTGTTTTTGAGCTTAATTGTACTTGTGGGAGTTTCTGCAGTAGCTATTTAACCCAGAAGCAAGATGAGCACTCCCTGCATGCTTTGTTTTAAAAGTAACCTGCAACATTTTGTCAGTGAAGGAAAGGTGTTTTGTAGTAACTTGATTCTTTATTACTGTTTTTAAAAATGTTTTGATTTCTGAAACATAACCAAATAAAGCCATTAAACAAAAAGGTTGTAATCACTTAAAAGTATACCTGCTTGTTTGGCTCCTTTTTGTGCACCTTCTGCAGAAAGGGTGAAATATTTGTTTCACGGAGTAAGAACTAGATTGTAAGTTGAATATGATTTGTGGAGTGCGCAAATCTTCTCTCAGCCCGAGGGTGATTTCCCAGTGTTTTGAATCTGAGGGCATTATCGCTGCCATTTTCTTTTCATGTAGTCCATGAAAGAGTAGTCCATGAAAGAAAGTGTAGAAAAAGCATGAGGGTGCCCTTCCTAAGGCTGTAAGTGAGTCAAACTGGCTGGTATCTTTCAAGAGCCTCATCTTCAGGATGGAGCGAGCAAGCCGTCTGTTTTGTCTTTTGACACAAGCATTTATTTCTGGAGTACATCACATTAAAAAGTGATCAGTCCTCCCTGCACAAATTTATGTCTTAATTAGCCTGAGGATTTTTACAGTATAAGATATACTCTTAGTCATCTTAAACCTTTTGCTGTGTTAACAATAGTACCTTTATGCATTTTCAGTGTGGCACCACAGACCAAGGGCTGTATCTGAATCTGACAGAGAGGAATCTCCAAGACGCCCAAAAATTTATTTTGATGCATGAAGTGATCCAGCCTATCACACCAGTTCCGTACTTCATGGAGGACAACAGCCGGTTTTCCCATGTGGTTGTGGATGTAGTACAAGGCAAAGACATGCTTTTTCATGTCATTTATTTAGCCACAGGTACATTCCTTATTAATGGACCTGAATCCAAAGAGAGGGGTGATGAGAATTTGGTTGAGGGAAGAGGGGCTTTTGTGTTGAGGTTGAATACATATTCAGTTCATTGTGCATGGTTAAAGATCATCTGCAACACAGTCACCGCCTGGCCTTGAGTATGTCATTTTCAGGGAAATGTTGAGCAAAAAGAAACAAGACTCAGGGTTAAAAAAAGGATGAACATATGACATCTAGGCCGGTGTAGACAGATGTATAACTTGACCACACTCTTTGTTTTGTAGAAGACCCAGACTCTTCCCACACCCCTCTAAATTTCAGTTAGATGTCAGAATAAGAGAATAACACCACAAACCGTATCTCAGAAGCATGATAAAGACTTGAAAGCTAGCTGTAGAGTTGCAGTAGATATGCCTTGTCTTTGAAATATAACACCTGTACCTTCTGCTTCTAAGGAGTTATGCCAGTCCCACAACTCCATTCCTGAAGTCTTGCAATTAGACTGAGGGTTAGGGTGGCTGCATTTATGCATGGGTTCACTCCAGTACCAGTTGCATGTGTTTCAGTTAATGTTCTCTACAGCAGCGGTTCTTAACCTTTGTTACTCAGGTGTTTTTGAACTGCAACTCCCAGAAACCCCAGCCAGCAGAGCTGATGGTGAAGGCTTCTGGGAGTTGCAGTCCAAAACTCCTGAGTAACCCAAGGTTACGAACCAGTGCTCTATAGCATTAAAGGAGCAGATTCTGTCTAATGGTTACATTAGAGTTGCAAAGCATTCTTATGGATTAGGGGGCTTAAGTGGGAAGGTCTTGGTAGAGCTGTGTTTTGCATGCTGTTGTGCTTGGCCTGAAGAGAATGTCTTCGGCTTGAACACAAGCTGTGGAAGGTGTGTGACTATAAGCCGCTTTGAGTTCAGCTTAATCAATGGTGTGCAAATGAGTTTTCCTAGTGTAACTATTTTTATGTCCTGCTGTGGAAAATTGTGGAAGAATGTGGCAGCTTTCAGTGGTTGCTTTCGCAAGATACAGTAGTCTCTATTTATAATGCACATGCTTAGTGGGACAGGTGTTGGTGCTGAGGAGTGCGGGTGGCACGTGGGAATGGAACAGGACCTATAAACTTTCTCTTTAGCTAGCAGTGAGTAAAGCTACTTATTTCTACTATCTACCTTTTGCACCTCATAAAGTGAATGGCTTTAATCCAAAGAAGGTGGGTTTCTAGTTGTGCAGAGGGGCTCTCCCACACACTGATACCCACCAAAATTGATTCTTGCATATTGGGGAAACTCTCCACAATGGGATGTGGTACAGCTCAGTGATTCCAAAAGATTCCAAGAGGTTCCAAAAGATCTCCTGTACGGAGAATTAGTGCAGGGAAAAGTACCCCAGAGGGAGGCCACAGCTGCGATACAAGGATATCTGCAAGCGGGATCTGAAGGCCTTAGGAATGGACCTCAACAGATGGGAAACCTTGACATCTGAGCATTCAGCCAGGAGGCAGACAGTGCAGTATGGCCTTTCAAAATTTGGGAGAGCAAGCCGAAGCGGAGAGGCAGTCCTGAAATCAGCAAAATCAGGGAGCTGGACAGGGGACAGATTGTATTTGTCTTCAATGTGGAAGGGATTATCACTCTCGAATTGGCCTTCTCAGCCACACTAGACACTGTTCCAAGAGCTCTATTCAGACCATGTTACCATAGTCTCTCGAGACTGAAGGATGCCTACTACAGTTCACTGATTATATCATGGTGGAAGGTAACAGATCTCCTTTCCAACATTTTTATACCATTGACTCATTCAAACCAAGCCCATATATTTGGGGTGTGTGCGTGCGCGCAAAATAGATAGATAGATAGATAGAGAGAGTGTGCGTGCGAAATAGATAGATAGATAGAGAGAGAGAGAGGGAGAGAGAGAGAGAGAAGACTTCATCTATTCTGTTTAGCTCTCACCAACCTCCAAAACATTTCTTTCTCCATTATCCTTTGCTTAGATTTCTGGAGAAAGAAATTAATTACTTTTAGGCTGAAATTTGTGATGTATGTTTTGGGAAAAGAAAAGAAAAATGAAGGACAACGTTGTGACATTACTTGAGACAGAACAGTGTGGATCATGTTTTGTTTCAGATTTCATATGTATACTGTGAACTGAGAGACTGCCTCGTGAATGATTCTTTTGTTTTGGTATTACGTTTTTGAAGTTTTTCATTGAAAATAACAGCATGGTTTTCTTTTGCTTGTTTATTCTACATTTTAATTCTGTTCTATGGCCTATATAGCAGCCTGGCACCACTGTATTTATGACAACCAGAACATTCAGAATGCACAACAAATGATTTATAAAATCACACTAATCATAAAAAGGATGGGTTATAGAGACATTTCATAGAATTGCACATTTGAAAATATAATGTTGCCTACAGGTTATCTCTTTATGATACGGATCCATATTTTACTCTTCAGAATACTTCATCTCCAAAAATGATTTTTTAATAAATCAGGAATTCCTGTTCCACCAAGATTCCAGGAGTAATAGATCCAGTAATTAAAAAGTGTCTTGAATTTGTAGATTGTGAAGATTTATATTTTTGCGCAAATGTTAAAAAGTATGAAAAGGAAATAGTGGAAAAACATGGATGAGAAATACAGCAAGTACTAGAAATAGGTTGAGAGTCAGAAAATACTGTGATGTAATTGATCATTATGACTGAATTCTGTCACTTCTAAAAATTTTACAGTACTAGCATGGTGCAAACCTATAGCCACTCTCCAACTGGAAAAAAATGCAAGTATTTAGCTGAAAAACTGCATTTGTAACAGAAGTATTTTCAACAGCAAACCTATAATTATGTGGATTTCTTTCATTGTGGCCTCTGTTAATTATAGACAGAACTCAGGCATTTTCAGTGTTTGTGTTGCATATCAGACTGTTGTCCAGTCTCTTTCATAGTATAAGGGCATTATTTTTTTGTTCAAAAGTGCCAAACAGATCCAGCATTAGGTGACTAGAAACACACTAGTATGTATGTTTGTGATGCTCTCCTGAAGCACATTTCTGCCAGAAGATGAAATGTACCTGCATGGAGCTATCTGATATCTTTTGGGTTGTGGATAACAGAGCAATAAAGTCAAAAACTGTGTTCTAAAAACTAAACACATAATTGTTGTGTCAGATCTGGGCGGCAAACTGTAGGTAAAATGAGACAGATGCCAATTACTCTTCTCTTCACAGGCCCAAATAAAAGTTTTTTCCCATTATGCCAAATCAGGCTGTGTCTTGATGCATTTGCAACTTGCCACACATTCCAACATAAGAAATCTCTGTTTGTTAGGATTAGTTTGATGTGCTATGAAGTGATATGTCGATCTTGCCAATTTAAGTTCACATACATGTCTGGATAGGTAAGGTTGGGATGTTTTTTTTTAAATCTGTGTGTGGTCTCAGGGCAGAATTGGGTACATGTCTGGATAGGTAAGGTTGGGATTTTTTTTGTTTTTTTTTAATCTGTGTGTGGTCTCAGGGCAGAATTGGGAGTTAATCTTTTAGCTGGGATGATTCAAGAAAAACTCACAACCGGTGCATAGATTTGTTTTATTGTCTTTCTTATGCATTCTATTACTTCCATGAGAAGCGGTATAATTCAGTATAATGTAATATTCTTATTTTTCAAAAAGCAAATCAAATACCAGGGAGCTTTTTTTTTAAACGGAGATGATCTGCTATTTATGCTATCTCAAATTTTGCATAGTAATTACTTTTTAAATGATTAGCTGGATAACATAGGTATATATTACTGAATGTTATTTAGTTGTTTAGGAAATTATGCTTTCTGTCTCACTGTGTATATCTGTTTGTCTCCTTTGTGTTTACATATGCAATGCACACACATGCAGACACATAAATGCACACATACATATATGTGGATCCATATTACTTTGTAGATCCATATTTTGATCATTCCTGGGTTTTACTATAAACTGAAGTATTCCTGTACTGGGAAAAAATATAAAATCAAGACATATCAAGACAATGAAACCACTCCGGACTGGTTTGTCATATCTTTGCACATTTATGTTTTAAATACCAAGCATGTTTCTGGCTTATCTCATGTTGCTTGGCTTTTCATGTTGCTATTTTATTATTCATGTTGTGATTTTAAACTATTGTTACTATATTGAATGATGAACATATGTGAGATTATAATATAAGCTCTTTTTGAAACAAAACCACTAAATCAAACACATATAAACACATGGAAAGTGTTTCTGGAGATTATGGTTGGGCTCCAAAGAACCATACACTTCAGAAGACTCTTGCGTTGTATTTCCTACATGGCAGGTAGCTTGCTGTGTCAACACTAAACATCCCATATGAAGCAAGGAACTATGGAAAGCACTTTGGGACATGGCATGGAAGAAGGAAATGACGAATGGCGATGGTAACAGCTGGCTCAGGGAAGAAGTGAAAAGTCTGACAGAGCGGGCCCTGTATATTCTAGCTGGTCAAACTGAAGTACTGACTTTACTTCATGTTCAGAAAATAAGGACTGAAAGCTATAATACCTTCAACAGGCCTCTGTGTCCCCATGAACAACAGGGAAAACAAATTCTAAATAGAAACATTTTGCTTCATATTTCTTAGTAATCATTTGAACTAAAGCAGAAGTTGGGAAGTTTCCCTACATTCTTACATACTTCTGCTTTCTTCCCACTGGTTCCTCCTTCTTCTCTTGCCTCCCTGTCTCTCAACAAGGAGAGAGACCCTTGTCTGTACTCCTAGACTCCTGTCTTCCAAGTAAGCACACACATTTGGTTCAAGCTCAGCCTGCTTTCTTTGCTTTCCAAATCCAACTCTTACCAGTTATACTTGATACCAATGTAATTGCCTTGTAGCCACTTTTCTGCAAGTGGCTCCTGTGGAGCTGGAAAATGTTTAGTGACTCAAACTAAATGTTTGTGTATGTTGGGGGAGGTTTTAAAAGTTTTTTTTTACCTGCATAAGAATCCTCCTTGAGGGATGTTGAGTCCTTGGACAGGAATTTACATGCAGCTTCTGCCTATCTGCTTGGTTCATTTGAATATGTTTGGAGCGACACAGAGAACAGCAGAGTTTATGTGGCCTGGGGTGATGTAAAAAGAGGCCCTTCAAATATGCTGTACCAGTGGTGGGCAACATAAGGCAAAGAGGTTGTGTCACAGAGTCATTATTTGTGGAAGAGGGCTTCTTTCGGAAGAAGGACCTCAGTGGGACAGATGTCATTTTTAATTATTTTTGGTTTATGTGTTCACTTTTATCCATTTTGGCTCATAGGACTCATATAATGTAATCTTCACCTCCAGTGTGGCTGACTGGCAGGATCAAATGCTCTCCGCCACCCGCCATGGCTAGCTGACCCAGGCAGCCTTTTCAGCAGAGTGATAGGATCAAAGGCCCGATATGTGTTATGCCCTTTAAAACTACCATAGGGTGCAGAATAATGGTGTGATCTGGGTGAGATGAGCAGCTGCTGGCTACTTTCAACCCAGATAGCCATGTTGCTTTTACTGATTGGCATGTCTTGTGATAATAGAATTAGGCACTTGCTAAATTTACTAGTTCTAATTTTCTTTCCCCAAACCTTGTTCCTTTTGATTGAGGCAGAATTCTTCTTTTTGAATAATCTCTGGATGTACAGCTGCTCTCTAAGAGAGTGAGGTGTGAGAAAATAACTGTAATTATCCTATTTGATGTATTGAACACGCTTGGACAACATGACAAGTGATTGTCAAAATACTGAGTTCTGGAAATGTATAGCTGACTGACTATCTTGTGGCATCCATGAGAGGGAATTAAAATCATCCCTTTGAAACTGCACAGAAGGAATTCAAATAATTTATCATTTTGGATGGTGCTCTCTCAGGCCTCTGAGGATTTTGCAAATGAACTTAATTAGCTGCACAGTTTTGAAGCCTGTGTGCTTTTAATGGATTATCAAGCTTAAGTGATGATAGTAGAGGTGCTGCAACCATTCCTTTCAGGAATGGCATGGCATCTTATGGAGCTCAATGTGATCTGGGGAACTTTGGGGCACCTTTTCTCCAACCACAAAATGGGAACTAGATGACCTAATGTTCAGTGGATGGGATCAAGAGGCATAAATTACTCTATGCCCATTTTTTGTTTTTTTCTAAGCAGCTCTCCTCTCCCTCACATCCTCTCTCCCCCTCCCTATACATGTGAGGGGATGTCCCTGGGGAGATGATTGGCAGTGAAAGGATTAAACACCCAATACCTGATTGTGGCTTTTCAAATGGCCTCCACCCCACTTTTCTCATCAGTTCTAGTGTCTTCTGACAGTGCTCTGTTCTAACTGTAGCTAGCCTATGCCTGCATTTCACAAATCAGCTTGCTTTTGCTTTGTAATGGATCAGCTAGGAGAAAGCATGATTCTGCTTGCATGTTTGATGTGTTGGGCTTGGGGCATTGTAAGAGGAAGAGAGCATTTGCCTTAATTTGTGACCTGACCTTGGTCAGGCTATCTTTCATTAAACATATCCTACAGATGTAGGCATGTGTCTTCCTTGCTCTAAACCTCACAGGTGCAAACAGCAAACCTTTCTGATGGGAGATCATCAGGTGAAGAGAGACTGTACTGAAGCTTATGCTGAAAGGGGGATTTATCCCTTCAAACTAGAAATTCATAAAATTTATTCTAGTTAACTCTTGCAAGAAGATTGGCCACAGTTAGCCTTATGGGGATATGTAACATACTGGCAAAGTCAACAAGTTACTTAATCATGTCAGTTGGACTGTATATATTGATCTTATCAAATAACACCCAAGGCATTTGGCCTGAATAGCCAATTGACCAATTTATTATGAAACAATAAGTTTAACAGGGATAATAAGAAAAACCCAGCATATCTAGGTCATCCATCCTGTTCTCTGTTGGTACATAGATTGTGCTGATCTTACAGCTTCTCATGACTGCAGCTGACCTTTCTGGCACCAAAACACAGCCATTTCTCATGACTCTGCTTCCGGTCCCAGAACAATTATTTCACTTGGTTGACAAAGATTTATATCATCATGGTATTATCTTTCAGGATTATGCATTATCATTTCCTTTCTAATATTTTTAGGACTTGAGAGACAGAACAATGATAAGATGTACAAAGTTTGTGTCAGAAAACATATCGAGACTATAATATATAAAGATTGTTAATAAAGCAGGAAGTAATGCAATGGGATTTAAAGGAAATAATGTAGCAATAAATAGAACCTGTCCCTGTCTTAGTTTTAGGTTAGTGATGAAAAGTTACTTCTGGATACTCAACTTAAGCTATCCTGGGTATTAGAGTCCCTAAATTTCCCCATCTCTACTGTAGGCCAGTCCCCAAATGCACATGCATTAAGACAGGCAGAGGCCCATGACTAATTTCCTTGTCTTTGCCTTACAGATCATGGCACAATTAAGAAGGTACTTGCTCCAATTAATCAAACATCAAGCAGCTGCTTGCTGGAGGAAATTGATATCTTTCCAAAGCAGCAGTGGGAGCCCATCAGGAGTCTGCAGATTTTACACAGTCAGAGTGCTCTGTATGTGGGCCTTCAAAGAAGTGTAGTGAAGATCCCACTGAAGAGATGTCTGTTCTACAAAATACACAGGTATCTGATGAGCTTTGACAGGACTGTGTAATTCAAAGATGCTGGGGGTGGGGTGAACAAAAAAGAATTCTTGAGAATATATAGTTGCTTGGCTTTCAGCTTATCTCAAAGCATTTTAGTTAACTAATCATTTGGCTTTTGGCCTACTGGTTATTTCCAGTTTAAATAAATGTGTATGTTGAAAGGCCTATCTGGTTTTGTTGTTGTTGTTGTTGTTTTGTTTTGTTTTGTTTTTGTTCACACAACCTGTAGCCAATCAGTTTTCCCTGGGAACCCACAAGAAGAGTACACTGGAGCGTGCCCCTGCCGTTCATGTTCACTAGGAACTGATATCCAGAGGCACACTGTCTCAGATACTGCAAGAAGTGAAAGGCCATCATGTGTACTAGATCATTGGCTGTTTGTTACTGTGAAGCTAGTAGACACTGGTAGTCCCATTGTCTATGAATTTGTCCTACTCTCTTTTAAAGTTACCCAGGTTTGCAGCTTGCACTTCACAGAAAAGCAGAAATGCTCCCTTTTATGCCCTGAAGCTTCCACCATTCCAAATCAGTGGATGACTCCAACATTTTAGTATTAATAAGAGATACAGAAAGTATCTCCTTTCTCCACATAATGTTCAGTTGTATACACCTATATCATGCTTCCTCTTACAAGCCTTTTCAGTGGTGGATGGGAAAGTGCGAAGAAGTGGTTGGAGGAGACTGAAAATCTCCATCCTCTTCCCACCTCATCTATTCAGTGTGTCAGTTAATGTCATTCTTTAAGGTCTGTTAAGAGATGGCAGTGGTTTCCCAAAGATGCATAGCTGTGAACAATTGTACTGAAGCCTGATGCTTTGGGTTTATATTTTCAGTGCATGTGTTGGATCCCAGGATCCTTACTGTGGCTGGGACCTGGTGCTGAAGAAGTGCACGCCACTGGAAGAAAGCTTGAGCATGAGTCAGTGGGAGCAAAGCATTTCTGTGTGCCCAGTAAGTTGACTGCATGTAACTTCATCCTATTCAGGTTCCCCAAGTCCTAGTGATGCTCACAGAAGAAGGTCACATTACTCATGTAAAGCAAAGAGTTATATTCAGATGATGTCTATACATGTTTTTATTGTCTCTGATCTGAACGACATGTTAAATCTTATTCTCAAGTCTAAGCAGGCTACTTAAGAGAAAGATTTGTATGTATGAATCATTGTTATCCACTTATGGCCTGTAATACATGTTTAACAGATTGAAATCTGGCTATGGCGGCAGTAGAGTTTTGACAGTAGCAGTTGATGCAGCATTAAAAAAAGTCAGACTGGTTGGGAAAATTGGTAACAGGGTTCAGGCAGAAAGAGTTATGCACCTCTGGCAGGGTCTGGCAATGGATCTAAGGATGAGGGGTAGTCAGATAAGATTTGGAAGCAGAACAGAAGGAGAGCTGAAAAATGACAGACTACAGAGTAGGCTATGGGCTGAGAAATCAGAATCTAGAAAGGCTTAGTGGAGGAAGTAGAATTGGGAGGTCAGACAAGGTGGCAGCCTGAGAAAGGAGAGGTTCACTCAGAGGAAGACCGAAGGGGGGGGGAAATTATGTGGAGCCTGGTGATAAGAGGTGATGTATGGCTTTTTCATCAAAAGTGAGAGTTCTTTTGTTTTTTTGGGGGGGGGTTGTTTGTTTGTTTATATCCTGCCTTTCTCCTTCAAAATAACCCGAGACGGCTTACATAATTTAAAAGGCTGTATGTAGAAAATAAGAATAGTAGGTAAATGAATTTTTAAAAAGAATTAAACAAGTATTACACAAAAATAGTAATAAAATCAATACAGAAATACCTTTAAGACAACCCTCTCAGACCACCAGTTATTAAGGATCAATAGGGAAATAGCTGTAAAACAGCACTCTCAGACCACCAGTTATTAAGGGAAAGCCTGCCTGAACAGAAAGGTCTTTGCCTGCTTGAGGAAGGACTGCAATGATGGGACCAGTCTAGCCTCCTATGGGAGTGAGTTCCAAAGTCTGGGAGCAGCAACAGAGAAGGCTCTCTCCTGTGTCCCCACCAAGTGCACCTGTGTGGGTGGTGGGATTGAGAGAAAGGTTTCCCCTGATGATCTTACAGCCCGGGCAGGCTCATAGAGGGAGTTTCAGTTTTTTAGATAGCTTGAACCCAAGCTATTTAAGGCTTTATAAGTTAAGACCAGCGGTTTGAATTGTGCGCAGGAATGGATCGGCAGCCCAGTGGACCTGCTGTAACAGGAGGGTCACATGATCTCTGTAACCAGCGACCAGCAGTTTGAATTGTGCGCAGGAATGGATCGGCAGCCCAGTGGACCTGCTGTAACAGGAGGGTCACATGATCTCTGTAACCAGCCCCAGTCAGCAGTCTGACTGCTGTGTTTTGGACCCTCTGCAGTTTCCGAACACTTTCCAAAGGCAGCCCCATCTAGAGTGTGTTACAGTAACCCAGTCGAGATGTAACCAGGGCATGTGTCACTGTAGCTAGATCAGACTTCTCAAGAAATGGGTACAGTTGGATATACTGGGCTTATCAGATGGTGAGGTGAGTGGCTGGAAGGTCTGGAGGCAGGGGCCTAAGATGAAATGTAGTGGAGCGGGTGATAGACAATGTCTGATGAATACTGAGCAGCTGAAGTGAAGAGGAAAAGTTGGCTCTGCCAGCTAGTCCGTTTCTTCTTAAATCTAGGCATTTGCTCCCGTTAAGCTGTCTGGTGGATCTGTAGGTTGCCTGCTTAAAAGGAATTCCCACACACTTTACATTAAAGCTTCCCCCCCCCCAGTTTTATTATGTGTGAGTGTTAATTGGATATGCTGCTTTTCTGTAAAAAAAGCCAGAGGTGTCTTGCATGGGCCACCAGTATGCATGCACTCTGTAGTGATATCATATTGCCAGTGATGACAGTAAAGGAGACAGTGCTGAGGGGATAAGTATATTCTAGCTTGTGGCAGAAGTGCAGAGCTTTGAAAAGTCACTTTGTAAACCAGGTAGGGGATTCTGTGAATTGAAGTTCAGAAAAGTAACCGTAACAAACACTTCTGCAGTGGTGATTTTCCCTGCTGTCTTCCATAGCATTTGTTTTTAAGATTTTAAGGCTTCCTGCTGTGCCTTCCAAGGTTTTTTTTTAATAGAAAATCTATATTGAAACTACTTCGATTTGCCTTACCCAACCTTTCCGTATTAAAGGCCATGCTTTCATTTGCCGCCCTGAGTTTCACCTTGACTTTCTTTTTCGGTCTCTGTGTATGAGTTGAATGGCAAAGCAGGGAACTGAAGCTCCTCCCTGAGAATCCAAGGTAATGTTGTTGGCAGCAGGAAACCAACCTTTTGATACACAATCATAGTAACTGCAGATTGCCGCCTATGGTGCAGCTGCTCAGGGTGTTGAATGGCGTGATGAACCCTGGCTGCCTCTGACTAGAGACAGCTGGCATGTGAGACAGCTGGTAATATGTTTTGGGTACACAGTGGCCATGATCCAGCAATTTGGGGTCTTCTTAAGGAATCCTGAACAGACAGAGATCCATTTCGAAGAAGGAAACTCCCGACGTACATATTGGAAACGGTGTGCAAAGGAAAGCTGAAGAAAAGGCCTTTTCCTCTTGGCAGAATGGCAAGAAATTTATAGTGGTCAGGAAAGTTGCAGGTTAGACACCTCATGGGACTGGGCCGTTGCAAAATGAAGGCGACGAGGCTTATTTTTAAAATAATTTATGAAATGGATTTCTAGCCTGTCTTTCAAGAAAAATTTAATATTCCTGCCAAATTAAAAAACAACAACCATGCATGTGAAAATCTAGTATATCAGGGTCATTAGGCTAAGAATATATGTACAGAAAAACTGTTTATCTAGATGTATTTGCGAAGGCTTTCACGGCCGGGATCTAATGGTGGTTGTGGGTTTTTCGGGCTCTTTGGCCGTGTTCTGAAGGTTGTTCTTCTGTTTGTCTAGATTTTGTCTAGATGTCTAAATCCAGATATATTGAAAATTGGTTTGTCTAGCTCAAACAATCAAATATATATATGGAAGATCTGTTTGTTTTATATACATATATGAATATTTTTCATATATATGTATATAGAAAAATATTCAAATATATGATTCAACCATCTGTTGGAAGCACAGTAATCTGGAAAGATTTGAACATCTGGCCCAGATGAAGAAGAAGGATGCAGACTCTTTTTTTTCAGGGTTATATAACTGAAGAGCCCTATTTAGTAATTTCTAAATTGCTACATATATGTATCCAAACTTCAGTTAGTTATCTCATAAATCTACTATTCTGTTTCAGGTATTTGCAGCATAGAGAGATCAGACTTTTGCTCCTTTATAAGATTTTTTTTTTAATTAAGAAAAACTGTAGAGACTATCTAAAGTTCTGTTTGACACCTAGGCCAAGTTCAATGTTACATTAAACCACAGCTTATTGTGATGACAACGCATCATCCTGAACCTTTGGCTTGCACATTTTCCCCTCTGGCCCAGATGAAGAAGAAGGATTCAGACTCTTTTGTTTCAGGGTTATATAACTGCAGAACCCTATTTAGTAATTTCTAAATTGCTACATTAAGCACACAAACAGAGAGCACAGAGTAATTCACTATTTTTTATCACCTCACTCTGTGTGACTTTGAAGGGGAGAAACTCCTGTATCTGCAGAGGCTGTTTGTATGAATGAAAACCCTGTAAAGCAGGATTCTGATTAGAGATGGGGATATTTGTATACAAACACCCCTGCACAGGTGGACATAACAGAGGTCCTGCCCCCTGGGGCCAGACCGACCACTCACTGCGCACAGGTGGACATAAGAGAGGTCCTGCCCCCTGGGGTCAGACCGACCACTCACTGTTCCGCCACTGGTGTGGGCTCTGTGCTCCTTTCCTACGTATAACCCTGGAGCTCGCGGTGGATTAGCCACTCCTGGCAGGAGGCACGATGATGAGCCTCTCTGCCAGGTTGAAGAGTGGTTAGTCCACCGTAAGCTCCGGAGTGATAAGAAGAGAGTGTGCTGCTCACGGCAGCAGCGAAATAGTGAGTGGACTATGTTATGTCCACCTGTGTGGGGGTGTTCATATACGAATACCCCCATAACCCTGGAGCTCGCGGTAGATTAGCCACTCCTGGCAGGAGGCACGATGATGAGCCTCTCTGCCAGGTTGAAGAGTGGTTAGTCCACCGTAAGCTCCGGAGTGATAAGAAGAGAGTGTGCTGCTCACGGCAGCAGCGAAATAGTGAGTGGACTATGTTATGTCCACCTGTGTGGGGGTGTTCATATACGAATACCCCCATCTCTAATTCTGACTCATAAGGAGAACATTCATACAGAGTGGAGGCTCTCCAGATTCATGAAGGGGCTTGATGGTGTTGCTAGCACACTCCCCCTTTTGGTATGTTTGCTGTACATACTGTGAAACAACTGAATAATAATAGTAACTACTGTATGTGCTGTCAAGTCAGTTTTAACCTATGGTGACCCTTCTTGGGATATAAAATATTCCAATGTGGTATAGCAGTCTCTTCTAGCCCTCAGATTGTTATCTGAGTCCAATGAACTGTAGCTAGCCATAATCGTGATTTGGTTCAAACAAGCCAGCTTTGAACCATGAATTATTTATACCTGTATTTTTCCTCTAATGGTACCAGAGGAACTTATAAAATTGAACAGATATTTTAAACTCCTGAAATAATCACGCAAAGAGAGAACTATTACAAAAAAGGAAGGCATTACGTAAGCAGTGTGTCCAACTTCACAAATTATTTTAAAATGCATAGACAAGCAGATAGTTTTTTAATCCTGGTCAAAAAGTTACCAGCAGTTAAATCTGCATGGGAAGGGCCTTTATGAAGCATGATAGAGAAGGCTTTCCCCCCCTAATTAAATGTATAATTCACTAAATCAACTTTTGGTGTCATTTTTAAAGTGTTGGGGGCAAACAAGGAACAGTGGGACCTTCCAGGTTTTTAATGTCAAATTGCTGCT